CAATTGGAAATGGCAAGAATTTTCGCAACAATCAGTTTGCAATTGAATACCAATAATAGTTTGTAAACGTGCCCCATAAAACTGGATTGTCAGATTCATAGTGAACATTTGTACGAACAAAATGTTTCACAAGTAATAAATGCGCAGCATTCTGCAATTGTTAGCAATGTTAACGATATGATTTAATTATAATTTAATTTATTTTTTTTTATTTAACTACGATTTTTGTATGACCTTTAACAAGCAAGATAAATTAACAAATTGTACTATTCAGACTATAAAACTAGACATACATTTTCAAAAAGTTTATCTCTACCTAAACGTTTATTTTACGATCTCACAAGTTAAGCTAAAGATTAGAGCTACATGGTTACTCCAATCCTTTAATTAGCTAGGTTTCTTAATTTTTTATGCAACAAAAGCCGTATGATGGCAGCAGAATAGTACTTACAGTCCTCGCTATATCTACACTTCCTCTGGGTATCACAGGAGCTGACTAAGGGATCACATTAGTTGGCATAACAGGGTAGCACGCCATCTCTAATTCTGAATCTTTTTAACTACAATATCCAAGCAGCCTGTTAAACGTGAAGATTGCGGCCACCTATATTATGTAGAGGATTTCATGAAGTGCACCCAAACGAAGCACACTTAAAGTATTATATTGTACCTTATTTCATAATGAATATTTTCTTCTATCAACATTTTTATTTCTCACTCCCCGCACTATGCGAATTATATTTGTAGGTGTTCTTCGTGGAATAGATATTACTTATTACACATTTTTATTTGAAGTCGACCTATGGGTGTGCTAAGTAGAATACTATAGGTGTGCTTCGTTTGGGGGCGGTTCATGGAATACCTCTTGTAGTGGACTAGCACGGACCATTTATACGGTGGTGGCAATTCAGAGAAATGTAAGTTTTTTTCTTTAGTAAAACGACATAAAGCTAGTTCTACAATTCCGTAAAGCATTGAAAACCATTTTTATCCTTCATTGCGCTACTATTTTCATACAGAATGCGAAATCTCTAGCAATGCAGTGTTGCGCGTAACTCAATTGTCATATGTTCGGCAGTTGTTCAGACCAAACGTTTTAAAGTAACCTAATGTGTGCACATGGACTATATTTGTGTGACAGGGTTGACAAATCGATGTGGTTTTGTTCATGTGGTTCTTACAAATATGAAAATGTAACTTTCAGTGGAGTGTGTTTTCACTGTATAGATCACTTCAGTATGTTTAGGCGTGCATGATTTCGAAATCCACGGCTAAGCCGAACAAAAAGAAACTAGAGATATGAGACCTCTGCATCAGTCAATTTACTAGTAACTAGTAGTACACCAAATACACAAATGACACTATATTTTGGAAGCAATCAAAGGTCCTAATAAAACTTATCTCGGAATTTGAATAAAAATCGCTATACAGCAACTACATCCACTGGACAGTCAATACTCCACTGCTAGTATCAAAATACAACATTGCTAACAAAATCCTTACCCTGGAATGCTCTAGTAACACAGCAGTGAGAATAGTAATGCTACATTTCGCCCAACCCTGCATGTAATCGGCCGAGCGCACGGAGACGTCAATTGGGTTTGGGTTCCTCGCTCGATATGCAGATGGCCCCTCGTTAGCTGTCCGCTCTTATGTACCCACCTTTACAAAGTCGTGGCGTCTAATACATTTACTTCGAGCGAAATTGAAACATGCTGTGTGTAACTAGCCTAAAAGTGAGTTAGACTGGAGATGGTAAATAATTGATTTGCATGTTGATGGAATTGTTACGTGTGCTCCATGACAAGAATATTTGTACTTGCAAACACGTCATCTTTTTATGGAAGTCAAGGCATCAAGATGAATACATATTGAATCGTATACAATACACTCTATTATATATATTTTTTCAGGGTCTTTCACTATTGTCGAGTAATGTAATGTAACGCTAATGTGGTCATATTATTATTAATCAAGATAGAATAAATTCAAAATTGTTCTAATTTTGGTCTAGAAATCGAGTGCGGATAGTCCTTTTTAGCATTATAGTACGAGATGATTGCATCTATACAGATAAATTAAATTCGAGCGTCTGTTTATAATATTAAAGTAACCGCTACATGCATATGAATATTCATACAATACACATACCAACACAAATTCTTTTACAATTTTTGTCAGTCTGTGTGTATGTTTATACTGGCTAATCACTGGAATGGCTAGACCGATTTTGCATAAGTAACATGGGCTACTTTTTATCTTGGAAAATTGAAACATAGAAGGTTATGTTCTAAAATTTTTATTCTACGCGGAAGAAGACGCAAGCAACGGCTAGTCTTTAATATATTTATATTGAAACCTCTTTTACTACACCTTCACAGAATAAATATACTTTTTGCTAGATTTACTCCCAAAATAAAAAAAGTAACAATAATATTTTCATTAAATATTCGCTTCATCTGCTCGCTTGTACCATAACCAAAGCTTTTGTTTGAATCAGCATTTATTCCATAGTTTTGTTTCGTTATTGAACATAAAACATTGTACCTGGTGTTTCTAACATAATTACTTTCGTCGGTTGAAAACATCTTTGTTCAGTTTAATGAAACCCGTTAACAATATTCTCAAGTTATTATTAAAATAATGTTATTTTAGACCAGATTTATTTCTTATTTTATTCTGCGCTTGGACATGGAAATAACTTGTTCTAATTTAATGAATGAAGTTCAAATTAGAATTTTACAAAATAATTGTCTGTAGCTCAAAATACTATTAACTTGTTCCTTGATGGAAACTGTTGGTGCTTCAGTTTTAGATTTGAAGATTCTCAGAATTCTCCCTAATAGTCTTGACTTTGAAACTCGATTTACGGTAAGCGGTTCATCCTGTCTTAATGGGACTTTCGATCCTACGATCTAAGTAGTTATTCGGAAATTATGTGAAATGATTGTTAATCTATAATATCACTACAATTGTTCCTGCAAATCTACTAAAATTATGGTCTATTGTATGCCTCTCCCATAACCTAAAAAGGTCGGAAACCAATAACATTAACTAAAAAAAACATTTCATTAAATAAAAGCGCCAAAAATAAGCCTTCATTATTTAGTTCTTAACCCTTCACAAGCTCACACGAGATCGGAATACCCATGTCACCCGATAAATCGGATAGTTCTGACATCCCGTCAGTTGTGAACATAATAAGCCCCTTTGTAACGACGGCCACTTAATCCCTAACACGTATGTGAGGTGGAAATGAAAAACTAATGGCTTCCTTCATGTTGGTCATCTGGTTGGTGACTAACTATCTACAGATACCAACACCTACACCATCTGAATGGAATTACCCATTTAAATAGTACCTTTATACTAGCGAATTTGCTAATGATATCTCAGATGATGGAATCACGGTGTATTTTTGACATCCTGCCATAATGCGTCCGTATTTTTTAAGAGAAGAATATTATCCATTGTCTTCTCGTAGCCGGGTAAGGCGAGGGAGAGCGTCTAAATTAAAACCACCACACCACCAAACCACCACCGCCACAGCTTCTGCTTTTCGAGCTGGAGCCCAGACAGCCCATTAAGTCTTCCGCAATTCCAATCCATACGCTTTGCAGTCGACTTGGAGATCGCAGTATAAAAGGTTCACGTTTAATACAGAGCGCTGTCTGCTCGGTCCCTGTCAAATGTGTAGTCCCTTAGCCGACTAAGGGACACTATAAGATCCGATTCTTACAAGCCCCTCATGTAGTTTAGGTTTGATGACAAATGTGTTCTACATTGCCGCCAATACTTCAATACTTTGAGTATATTTATACTTGTAGTTGTACATTATTCAATGAATAATTGATTTTAATTAAGCAGTGGACGTGTAACGCCTGTTTGTTGAAGGCAATTTACTGGAAGATAATTAAGTGGTCAGATCGGTAATCGCAATTTATAATCTGCAATAATTATTGTAGACATAATTGATGAACGCAGTAGATAATGATCTAGAGCTTGAGAGCTCTAATATCAAAATTATCGCTGTGTCAAATGCTTATTCAGTAAAGTCAATTCCTAACCAACCAGTCATAAGTTGTAATTTCCAAATCAAAATCAACATACTATAAGAGCCCAATGCTGACCATAGGCCTCTTCTTACACGGAGAAAGTTTGAGCAATAATCAAACGTATTTTTTTTTTTTTTTTTTTTTAAGGGGGGAAAATCATCGAATGACTGCCCCCGCCTGGGTGAGGCGGGAGGGAGTGTCAGACTCTTACTGACTAAAAACCACCCCGTTCCTTCTCCTGCACGTCGAGCCGGAGCCCCGGTTACCCGTTAGGTTCTCCGCGACTCCGAATCGGCATCGGCCCTATTGGGCCCCATCTGTGGTGGTCTGATGGCTCTTTGAGGCGCGCGCGGAACGCGACGCGCCGTACGCTCGGGTCATAATCAAACGTATAATTTAATATTATAAGTAGATACAGGTTTCCTTACGATGTTTTCTTTTACCGTTGGTGCCCCTAAATTTCCAAATACTGTTAACTTTATTATAACAGAAAATAGACATGTGGTTCTTGTATTAGACCAAAAAGGTATTTTTTTAGGGGTTTGTCATAATCCTTGCTTGGCAGCGGCTTTAGGACCTCAGTCAGGTCACTGGAATAATTGACCAAGGATGTTACTATCTATGCGCGGCGTCCGGTCACAGATATAGAATATAATCCGAGTCTTTCAAATCTAAATAACAATTAATTTAAAATCTAAAGGTATATTTCAGGTAAATTATAAACAAGTACTTTTGGAAACACATTGTTGTTATGAACTTTAAGTTAAGGTAAAATCTAAACTCTCAAATTCGAATACAAAAAAAATGTTTGCATTTATTCGAACTCGTCAAGACAATTTTGAACATGTTTAACCCATAGTTGATGATATTTGACTTTTGACCATTGCTGAAATATCGCAGTAGCTGGACTATATCAAATGATTATTTAGAACTATTTGGGGTTACCACAAAAGTTTCTGTCAGGTTTGGTAGGAAAATGCATTTGCATCATTTACAAAATTAAATCTGCCATGCCTAATCTCGCAGTTTCTTTAAGTAAACTTGCAAAGTGTCGGTACTTTTGGAAATTTTCAAACATTTTAACGTCAATGTTTAGACTAGGCTTCTTCTTTGTCAAAGTTTTTGTATGCCAGACTAGTATTTTTGAGCAATTGTCAGCGAGAGGTTCTATTTCGTCAATTTTTAAACCGAGGCTTACTAGGAACATATCTTCTTCTAGTCCAGTCTTGTACGGCATATCAGCGGTGTCCTTCAGAAACTTAATGTTGATGGCAAACCCCGCCATATCCACGGGGAATGTTCTAGAGTCAACCCATGAGTCGAAGAAGGCTACCACCTTCCCGTCTGTAACGACCGGGCTGGAGACTCCATAATCTCCGATAAGACCGACAGGAAACATTGAAACTTTCTTCGTATTCCTGATCTCATCGAAGAGCTGCAGGTCTATCGTATTGTCGTCATCTCCAAAGTACAGAACTCCCTCATGAACGTTATCTCTAAGCCAGGCTAAAGCTGCACGTCGGTTTGACACTCCTCGAGGAAAATTACTGATTTGATACTTGAATGGTTTCGGGCTTGATATGTGCGTGTAAGGCAATCCCGACCGTCTTAGTATGTCAAATACGACATCGGAGCAAATTGGTTGATCATCAGCTACGATCCAATGTAATCGCGAGACGTGCATCAGCGTGTGGGCCAGCCTAGTTAGTTCTGGTACCTGCTCTGGTCGAGGATACGTGGGTGTCACAAAGTATATCATCTTCAAATCCGACGTATTATCCACATAACTCCTCTGGTCCTTGAAGTTCGCGTGGCACAGCTTATTCTTCACATTTAGTGGAATTTCTTTCACCATCCCTGAGCTGAAAAGTTCCATGTTTGCCCAGAATAGAAAAACTATACCATTTACAATGGTCGCCATTACAAATGATTTTTTAAACATTTTATAAGATGCCATGACTATAAAAACGCTATATTAGTTATTGCCAGTCGTTAAAAATACATTAAAAAAAAGTCCTGCACGACCCTCCGCTCGTGCATCTTGCTTGACAATGACTGATGACAACTTATATAGACAACGACAACTGTGTTTTTTTTCTTGAATGGCAACCGAGTATCTAATTCAATGTTGTCGACTATACTGCCAAGTGGTATCGACAGATTAATAAACCGTCATACTATAACTTGTTTTGGAAGTATATTTGTTAGTAGCTTTGAAAAATAAACACACAAAACGTAAAATATTAAAGTAGCACACAAAACGTAATATGTAGGTCACAAAAAGTACACTGAAATTGATTACACTCGATAGAACCGACGTAGGCACGAGAGTACCTTTGACCACTACCGACGAAAAAAAAAGAAAAAAACTAGATACTGTTTTGGAGCGCAGTACAAGTAGATTAATCATTCCTTCGCTGCATTCATTCATAACGAAATAATTTCAATTCTTTGCACCATGGAGTTTTTTAATGCCATTGGAATTATTTTGAATGTTTGTGTCATCGTAAAAGTTAATTACTAATTCCGTAAGTAGTAATTTGAAATTGATATCAATTGTTAAAATAGTGCAAGTCTTATTGTTTTGTATTTTGGACAAAAGCTGGTGTTTTACTGTATGTGTTGTGGATGATAATAATCTTAGAAAGTACACATAACTCTGAAAACGTCAAATTGGTATTTGCCGTTGGTAGGTTTCGAACCCGCACCCTCAGGCGACAAGCGGGCGTCTTAAGCCACCGGACCACTACAATAACACTGACAAACGGTGAAGGAAAACATCGCTAGGATACCTGGGCTTATAATTTCAAATTATAAGTTTGTAATCGCCAACCCACATTTAGGAAGCGTGGTGAATAATGCTCAAGCCTTTTCCGTCTTAGAAGAGGCTTTGCTTTGCTGCTTTGCTCAGCAGTGGTGATGATGATTGTGACTGAGATTACCGGAGATAATTGTTTATGTAATTTTATGAGGCAGATTCTATACCTTATTCATTTAAATGTGTAAGAAATTAAATAAGATAAACAAATTACGTCTCTTTTGTGGACGATTTGTAGTTTTATTAATTCGCGTTTCCTCAAAAAAAATATTCACAATAAAAGAAAACATCTGACGAAAGCAACTGAACCTCATTCTCAAACATTAACAGAATCTATAGTGGCAGATGAAATACAGAAACAAACACACACATATACAGTTACGATATTAAAGGTGATGTCTTACGTCCATTCAATATCTCAAGCATCTAAAGACATTATAGATATTAACCTAAGAAGACATGAATCATAGTATTGGTCTATGCCATGATTAATTATACCTGTCTTTGCCATATAATATTCTCACTCAACTGTTTCAGCCATTCACTGTTTTGTATGAGACAGACAGACATACGTACACATACTATTTATAATGTAACGTGTCTATTTATATCGTATAATATTAAGATTATGATCTGTAAGTAACACGAGTAAGGATAAACAGTTATCTATAGAGATGTCCTGTAAGTATGGGCTTTTGACATGCCCTGAATAATTTTAAGCCTAGCTTAAATGAAGATACTAACTAATGGCCTTTTTTAAAGGGGGAAAAATCATCGAATGACTGCTCCCGCCTGCGTGAGGCAGGATCGAGTGTCAGACTCTTACTGACTAAAAACCACCGCGTTCCTTCTCCTGCACGTCGAGCCGGAGCCCCGGTAACCCGACTCCTGCACGTCGAGCCGGAGTTAGTTTCGGAGTCGCGGAGAACCTAACGGTTCTCCGCGAAACTAATGGCCTAAAGTTATAACAGGTTTTGGCCATGTCAAGTTTTTTTTTGGGGTAGGCCGGTAACGTAGCTGATGTATCACCTGATGGTAAGCAATCGCTGTCGCCCATGGATACCTAGAACATCAGAGGCGTTACTAATGCGTTACCGACCTTTTAGGGATTAGGAGTTTGAGGATTGTTGGGGATTCAGGGGTTGGGGAGATTGGGGGAGGGAGGGTAGTAATTGGGCCTTCGGTAACCTCAGTCCCTCGACAAAACACAACGCAAGCGTTGTTTCACGTCGCTTTTCTGTGAGGCCGTGGTATTACTCCGGTCGAGCCGGCCTTTTCGTGTCGAAGCAAGGCGACACTTAAATTAAAAAGTTCAAACAACCTGTTATTATTTGTATTGTATATGCCATTTTAATTCAATTAAAATGATCAACCAATGGAATTTACAATTTGCTGAAAACTTACAAAAGTTTCTAAAAATTTAATGCGAATTATTTTATTTGAACTACCAAAAAATAAATGTAAATCACTCAATCCCACACAAAAGCCCGCCTCGGCTTCGCTTGAGAATTAATTCCTAACTTTCTATTGTTTTTCCTGCTATTATAGAAGAGTTAGAACAAGCTATGTTGCTGTCCTTATCATTTACAGCGTTACGTCACTTACGTGTCATTTGTTTTACTTTTATGTTTTAGAAGGAGAACACACTATGCTGATGTCCTTGTCATTTCGAGTCTGACGTCACTGATGTGTCATTTGTTTTTTTATTTAATTTTGTATTCTAAACTATTTTAGTAGCGTATATGTCATAAGAGGATTTAAAAGAGATAAATCAAATGTATAAGAAAAGATATAAACATTTTGTTGTCGACAATATCTATGTAAATTGGTACAAAGATAATTTTAACAAATTGAGGATATATTCGTGGCAGTCGTCGTGTCCTGTTTCGCAGAATGATGCTAAAGAATATGAGACTTTAGCCTGACTTCAAACTAGTCTAGTTCCTCATCAAACAGTACTCACGTAAACGATTGACGAGGAACTAATATACCGAAAAACATAATAATGAATTCTGTATGTCTCACGAAAGTTATAACACAAGCGAAGACTGACATGTGACACCAATCAACAAAGCAAAATAACCACTAACAATGAAAAAAAAACTTTAAATTTATTTAACAAACCTACATTATTAAGTTCAACTCACACTATTCTCACTGTCCTACTTTCTATACGAGTTGTGAGGACCGTGCCCACTAAACTAGTTATTCTCACGCGAAGCTGAAGTCAAATAGTTAATAAATCCACATACTTGCGGGTTTATGGTGACACTATATTAGAAATTTTATTTCCGTGTGTGAAACTAGAACGTGAGGCGTGTACGTTACACCTATATGTTCCGCTAAATAGACATTATGAGTGACTCTGTGAAATTATAAAAATAATATAGGATAGTTGGTTATTAAGGTTCAAATTAGAAGCTACGATTCTATTTGAGGGTCAGTGTACTTTTCAGTTTGGAAAGAGATAAAGGTCTTAACAAATGTTTAGTATCTAAAGAGTTAAGCAACACCCATATTTTCATAAAGTCTAAGTCAAAGTCAAAATCATTTATTTCAATTAGACCAGAAAGGTACTTTTGAACGTCAAAAAAAAAAAAATTAAAATTTGCTCATTCCAATGTGTAGATTCCTACGGAGAAGAACGAGCAAGAAATTCCATAGTTTAACTCTTTTTCAATCAGGTTCACAATACAATTCATTAGTTACATAGTATTGTTGTTTGGATTGTGTGAGAACAATGTAACACTAAAATCTAGTCAAAGAGATCGAAAAACAAAATAACCTTAAGGACAATAAATAATACAGTCTGGAGCTGACCAGTCCCAGTTAACGGCGCCCGTTCACGAACATGACACGTACACCAGCACCGCCGAATTTTTGTTTCATATGCATCTCATGAAATAAAAGTGGACCCTGTTGCCATTGCATTGGGCACAATTCCAACTCAACGTACTTGTAATAATTTGGAAAAAACACAAAGGATTTTATATCATTTTGCCCAATCCAGGAATCCAATATAAGATATTTTAGTAGTCGCATTAGTCGCATTTGTGTTCACAAGCCTATCGAAAGCCGTCAAAGATTAATGGATGTCTGCAACCGCAAGCAAAAAGTTTGTAACAAATCCTAATCGAAATAGAATCATAATAATTGTCTTATTTAATAAGATAGTAAACATATATTGTTTCCGAGCAACAAATACTTACCTATATAAATACAATAAGCAGCTTATGAAACAAACAATACATAAAAAGCAATATTTACGCGTAATAGCATTTAGGAGGGCGCGGCGTAGGAGGGCAGAGGGCCTAACGAGGATTGAGGAGTACAACAATAGCTATGTTGTGTTCCCTTAAATTGTATTAAATGGAGGAATATATCTTAAGGAATATTATCCTGGAATACATTAATAGATGGCTATTAATACATTTTGTTTATGATATTTACCGTGTTGTTATGAAACTGGGATTCAAATCGGAGTTGCACAAACATTACGTTGGACTATCTGTTTACTTCATATAGATGTATATAGATTTGGTAACCTGCATAGCAGGCTTGATTGAGCAAATGCAAAAAGATATAATAAAAGCATTATTCTAATAAAAAGCATGGTGTAATTAACATTCTATTTACTTACACTATGTAGTAGTAATAGGCTCACCCTCTTTTACATGGGACTCATAACATAAATTGTAAAAAGTAGGTGTTACATTACATTGTACAGAGGCATAATGTGCACCTCTGCCTACCCCTTCGAGAATAAAAGGCGTGATGTTAAACATAACAATGTTACTTACACATTAGGTACATATGATCAAGTCGAAATTTGGTATGTTTCCTTAAATATAAATATAAATATGCGCTTCCCTAAAGATTTTGTATTAGAAGATTCTGCTTCATCCTCTGAACAAGGAAAAATATCAAGAAATCGGATCAACACGGCCTTACGGTGGTTATGCACGAAACCAAAAGTTTGACCTCAAGCAAAGATTGAGGTGAATCACGTCCGTATCAGTATTTGACTCATAGTTTTGTGCTAACGTAATGTAAACTTTATTGGATTATTAATAACTTTGGATTTTCGTCAACCATACAATCGGTCTTAAGACCAGCTAATTTTAAAAACGAATAGATTA